AGTTCCAGCGCGAAAGTGGTTCCCCGAAGAGCCCTTGGCCGTATTACCGCTTCTACTCAGCATTATTACATGTGGCATATTATATGGCGGTGCTCGGGAATGGAGAGAGAATTAGAGGAGTGGGGAGAAAAGAGGAGGAGATGAGGGAGATGGAGAAGGGTGGTTAGACCGAGAAGGGACGTGAGAGAGGGATGAAGCGGGGGAAAGAGAGGAGATGGCAGAGCAGTAAAGAAAGTGTCTGTTGCGTGGATGGAGGAGAACTGGTGACCTGCGAAGCGTTGCCATAGTATCTGCGTGGAGTGACGAGATCGTGGTCGAGCGTAGATTAGCAGCCGAGAAGAGAACCCGAAAAGGCGAGAGGAGAAGACGGACAGGGGGGAGGACAAGAGCGGCGGGTTTGGTTTTAGGTAATAGCGGGCAGTGCGGGAGCGGAAAGGGGGGTTAGGCGGTTCATTAGTGATGAGAAACGAAAAGGAAGGGGTAAAGTAGAAGGGAACGCCTGTGGAAAGAGAAAAAAAAAAAAAAGGAGGAAAGGAGAGAGAGACAAATCGAGAGAACGAGAAGAAGAACTGGAGAAAGGCTGAGAGGGGGAAGGGCGAGAAGAGAGAGTCAGAACGGTCGGGGAAAGAGGGGGATAAACAAAAAGAAAAGAATAGGAGGCCGGAAAAGAGATTTTAAAAAGGCGAGAAATAAAAAGGGGTAGATAGAGAAAGGGAAAGACACAGCATGAGATGAAGAAGCAGGGGAGAGAAGATGGAGGAGACAGGAAAGAGAAAGACCACAACGAGAGAAGGAAGGGCCGATAGAGATAGAGCAAGAGCGGAGAGAGAGATAGGGATAAGCAAAGAGAGACAGGGAGCACAGCAAAGCCCGAGAGAGAGATAAACGGGGGAGGAGAAAGAGGAAAAAAATTATGGGTGAAAGAGACAAAGCGAGTAGAAGGAAAGAAGGGGAGTACATTGTTTTATATCAGAGAAAGAGAGACAGAAGGAGAGAAGAAATTGAGAGAGTCAAGGCATAGATAAAGCCGCGGAGGAGAAGAAAGGAGAGAGAAAAAGAAGGACCAAGGAAGTAGAGGACAAAACAGAGAAAGAAAGAGGCATAGAGAGAAGAAAAGACCGTGAGGGGCATAGAACAAAGCAAAGAGAGAGGCGGGGGCGAGAGAAAGAAACCAAGAGCGAGATCAGGGACACAAAATGAGATGTTTTAATTTACGTCCGCAGACAAATGACCAGAGAGCCTGTTTGTCTCCGACTTTCTGAACCAATTTGCCATGAAAAAAGTATATAGAGAAGAGAGAAGAGAAGAAGAGAAAAAAAAAAAGGCACATCGTCGGTCCAACAGAAGAGAAGAAAAAAAAAAACAAAAAGGTCGGGAGGGGAAGGAACAAGGGAGGGAGGGGAGCCCGGGAAGGAGGTCGAGGGAGGACGGGGAGGCAGGGAGGGACGAGAAAATAGACGAGAGGGACGAAGGGGAAGGGCGAGGGGGAGGGGAGAGGGAAGAGGAAGGGAAGAGAGAGGCGCGAGACCAAGGGCGTAGGGTGGGAGAGAAAAAAGAGGAGGAGGGAGGCGAGAGAGAAGAGAGAAGGGGACGGGAAAGGGGAGATGGACAGGAGGAGGCCGAGAGACCGGGGAGAGAGATGGGGAGGCGAGACGGAGAGGCCGACAGACGAGGAGAAGATGAGAAGGCAGAAAGAGGAGCGACGCGGAAGAAGTGATGGAGGACGAGAAAGAAAGCAGATGAGGAGAGAGACAGAGAGGACGAGAGAGAGAGAGAGACAGAAGAGACAAGAGAGAAGAAGAGAAGAGGAGGACAGGACAGGAGAGAGAGGAGGAGAAGAAAGAGAAGAGAGAAGAGAGAGTACTAGGAGAAGACGAGCGAGCGGAGAGAGAGAGAGAGAGAGAAGAGAGAGAGGAGAGACAGAGAGAGATGAGAGAGAGAGAGAAGAAGACAGAGAGAGAGAAGAGGAGAGAGAGAGAGAGAGGGGAGGAGAAGAGAAAGAGAGCAGAGAGAGAGAGAGAGAGAGAGAGAGAGAGAGAGAGAGAGAGAGAGAGAGAGAGAGAGAGAGAGAGAGAGAGAGAGTGAGAAAATGTTACGAGTGTCTATTTTCGAGCGTCGGCGTGACAGAGCCTGTCCGTCCCTGCCTTCAAAAGAAATTATCACATTACCTTAAAAAACGGAGGAAATGCAATAATAAGCCTAATTACTAACATCCGCCTGGCGTAATGTAATGGAGAGACTTAAACCAGCTGTTCTTGCATCAAAAAAATGCTTAATTATAATGCAAATGACCTGGCTACATAGCAGATAGAAAAATCGACCTTATTTCATATGCCAATTATGTGAAAAATACTGTTACGAAAGTTTTATTGTTGTTGATGCTGTTGTTGTTGTTGTTTAGTTTATATGCTGAGCGATTCATGGGTAAGCTAAAAAAAAAAAAAAAAAAAAAAAAAAAAAAAAAAAAAAAAAAAAAAAGAAGAAATAAGAAAGAAAAAATCATCTTAAAGTAGCAGAGAAATCAAGTTTTTTTTTCCTGATCAAGCTATAATTTCCTTAAACACCAACAAATACCTCCCACTTCCTCCTTTGATATCAAGACCCCTATCAGGCAGTCCCAACCCCCGCCCCCCAACCCCGGAGTTCCAACCCCAGGAACACTAACCAGAATCGCACACTCGGGCTTCACTTTAACGAGGTGTGGCTGCTCTCTCTCTCTCTCTCTGTCTCTGTCTCTCTCTCTCTCTTTCTCTCTCGTCTCTCTCTCTGTCTGTGTCTGTGTCTGTCTGTCTGTCTGTCTGTCTGTCTCTCTCTCTCTTCTCTTCTCTCTCTCTCTCTTCTCTCTCTCTCTCCCTCTCCTCCTCCTCCTCTCTCCCTCCCTCTCTCCTCTCCTCTCCCTCCTCTCCTTCCTCCCTCCTCCCTCCTCCCTCTCTCTCCCTCCCTCCCTCCCTCCCTCCTCCTCTCTCCTCCCTCTCTCTCTCCCTCCCTCCCTTCTCTCTCTCTTCTCCTCCTCCCTCTCTCTCTCTCTCTCTCTCCCTGCCTCTCTCTCTCTCCTCCCTCCCTCCCCTCTCTCTCTCTCTCTTCCTCCCTCCCCCTCTCTCTCTGGCCTGTCTATGGCTTATCCACGGATTTCACTTCTCCCTCGGCCGCAGCAAATTGAATGCAAGCTGCCTGTTACCCCGTTATGAAATGCACAACTCCACTGCTTATGTTATTTGTCGGGTCATTGCATTGTTCATAACTGTTCATGGTTGTGAGTTGTACGCATACTGGTAGACAGGTGGATCGATAGATAGATGGGTGGATTGATATGAATGTGCATACATATTTACTTGCTTAATTAGCTATATACATACATTATTACATCCATATACATACATATATATATATATATATATATATATATATATATATATATATTAATATATATATATTTTATATATAGATACATATATATATTTATATACATATACATTTATCTATCTATCTATCTATATCTATATATAAATATATATATATATATATATATATATATATGCATATATATGTATGTATATATCTATACATATATATATGTATATATATATATATATATATATATATATATGTGTGTGTGTGTGTGTGTGTGTGTGTGTGTGTGTGTGTGTGTGTGTGTGTGTATACACACACACACACACACACACACACACACACACACACATATATATATATATATATATATATATATATATATATAATATATATATATATTACATACATGCAGACATACATGTATATGCACACAGATGTATCCATATATACACATATATCTATATTTACATATATATGTGTGTGTGTGTGTTTGTGTATGTGTATGTATATATGTGTGTGCATGTATGTATACACGCGAGAAAGAGTAAGGAATAGAATTAAAAAATATAAAGAATGTAAAATGCCTAGATTTGTCCCCAGGTTTCGCCCACTCCTGGCGTTGGCACCACTGCTGTGTCTAACGTGATTTGGCGGTTCTTTATATCCGCGTGTTGTGTTAATTAATACACCTCCAGCCACTCCGCGCGTCCGCCAACTTAATTAGATTTTGTTGTCCAGTAATTGCCGCGCCCCGGACAGCCTGGCTAGCGGCTTCCTGACTAGCTGCTTGCCTCCTTCCTCCTAGTTCTGTTGCTTATTTCCTTTCGCAGTCTTGCTAGTTATTTTCTATATTTTCGTATCCTTCTTCTTTACGTATCGTTATGCCGTTTTATTCCTCGTTTCTTGTGCCCTCTCTTCCTTCCTGATCAGTTGCGTGTCGCCCTTTCTTGCGCTGTTAAATCTCTGACTTTCCTGCTTGTCCTGCTTCTCTTTTTATCATTTCCAATCAGCTGGAAGTGTCCATTCCCTCACTGGCGATTTCTTTGGTGTGCTGCGTGTCTTAGCGTCGAAAGAAATTAATAATCTGTTTTATATTTCACTTAGAATTAACCCGTAAATGCGACGGCAGCGAGAATGATTGCACCGGGAATACACAGAAAGACTAATGAAAATAACGCAAAGAGAGACTAGGAAATGGCACATCCAAATACATAGACGGAAGGGGAGAGAGAGACACACAGAAGTTAATCATTCCCCTCCAACCAGGTTTCTCCTCTCTCGGTCGCCTTTGGATGTATTGTTGAGTGTCTCTCCTCTTTATCAATCTATTCTTACTTACTCTCTCGTTTCCCCTCCCCTAAGTTCCCCACCCAAGGAGATCCCCCCTCCCCCCTTTCCCCACTGCATCCCGAATCACCCCATCCACCCTCGGGTCGGCCTCTCGTCACATCACACGCGCAGTTGAACCGTTTCCTTGCAAGTTCGAAAAGTTAATTCACCCGCTTAAAGAAGGCTCGATAAGAGGCAGACGATCTCGGGGAGCTGCCAAGGGCTTCCTCGTAGAACATGGTTGAATAATGAGATACAATTTAGCTCTGACGCATTCAAAAGGGAGTAATCTGATCTTTTTTCTTCGTCTTCTTCTGCAGACTCAGCGCCTGTGTTGGAATATCGCTTCATCAGCCAGACGCTACAGCCGGGCCCCTCAGTGAGCTTAAAGTGCATCGCGTCAGGGGCACCAACCCCACATGTCTCGTGGGCGCTGGACGGCTTCCCCCTGCCGCAGCTGGACAGGTTGGTACTCCTGTCTTTATTACTATTAATTAAACTTACTATGATTATATTATTACTGTCGCGACCGTACTCAACAGTGTAATTATTAGCTTTTTTTGTTGTTACTTGTGATTATTACTGCCATCTGTTGTCATAATTATCGTCATTATTTGTAGCACTAGTAACATCATTAAAGCCATTTTTTTCACACCTATCACATACACATAAAAGAAGGAATAACTTTGAACAGGGATCCCAAGATTCTTCAGTTCACGAAAAAAAAGCCAAAACAATTTTATAATGTATTCCTTAATTCCAGCTCCCACAGTCTAACGAATATTTGTGTCATAGCTATTTTCGCCATAGTTCGTGCTCGGTTCACTGTTTACTTGTTATTTTCCTCTTCCTCGTGTGAATTCGTCCCCGAGAGAGGCCGAAGACGGGCCGGCGACACAGCGGGCGTCCCGAAATTGTCCGCGCACAGAGCATAAAAAGGCGGTGGACCCAACGTCGACAACAGACACATTAAAAGATTATGGGACATCGCATGACAAACGCTTTGACACTTGTGGACACAAACACTGCAAATTAAATCTGTCTTTATACATACGTACATACACACATGCATACATACATACATACATGCATACATGCACACATACACGCATACATGGACGCAATCACACGGCCAAAAAAAAAAAAAAAAAATCAGTAAAGAAAATTTGAGCTTTCCCTCACCGCCCTTCTCCTACAGGCTGGTCGTGGGCCAGTACGTGGGCGTGGGCGGCTCGGTGGTCAGCCACGTCAACATCACCAGCGTGCGGGCGGAGGACGGCGGCGCCTACACCTGCACGGCGACCAACAGGGCCGGCACCGTCGCCCACCAAGCCCGGCTGAACGTGTATGGTAGGTCGTCCTCGGGGTTCAGGCTGCTCGGCTCGAAGGTCGTCCTTCAGGGGGACGCTAGTTGACTCGGAGCAAAGTCGTCCTCCTGTTTTGAGCTGTGAGACTTGTATGCTTAGTCGCTTGTTTCTTTGTTTGTTTTTTCGATGAATCTACTTACATGTGTGGTAAGTCATTCTCCAGCAAGTTTAAGCGACTAACCATACGCGGAAAGTCCTATTGGTGTAAGGGAGGTCTAGAGTATAACAGACATAGCCGGTCGTGTAAAAAGTAAATCGTAAATCGTAAATTTAAAAAGCAAAATGATTATTGTTATATTACTTTAGATAGCGGATACGGAGTCAGTTATGAGTTTTTTACGTAACCCAGGCAACGGAGTGGGTTGTATAGAACAGTACTTGCATTAATATATTTATATACGTAAGTAAAGATTCAAAAGTACTTGACAATTTTTTCCACTGTTTGATATTCATGCTCTTGTGAGTCTTCCCATTTTTTAGTGTTGATGAGTCTTAATAAGGTCAGTTGTGCACTTAATGAGTTGGTTGTAAAAACGATGTACATTTTTGTTGTTTCGCTTCGTTATAGTTTTTTAAAATGTAAAGGAAACTATTTGTTTGGCATTATATCAGTAAGCTCTCACATTTTAAAGCACGCTAAATAATACAATTAAAAGTGAACTGGCAGCGTATCATAAATGGAGATGAATTACGTCAAATGATAAAGCTAACACACCAGAAAAAGCAAATTAACTTAATTCGTGCTGGAAAATGTTTCCAGACGGAAACAGAAAAATAAATACTTTGTTAATATGTACATCTGTGTGCGTGCATGCCTGTACACAATGACGTACATGTCATCTCACTGTTTTTCACCGCAACCACACACACGTAAGTCTAGTGTTTAAGTGAGTATTATCTACACTTCCAACTAGCAAAAAGAGCGACAATAAACAACTCTAATCCTAAAACTAGAACAAACACATACACATAATACATCTCAGTGCGTATTACCTACCCTTCCACCCAATAAAAACCGAACCACAACAAACGAACACAATTCCTGAACGAGAACAAACCCGAGAAGCGACCTCGACCGCAGGACGACCTTCGCGCCGACCAACACGAAGCGAAAACACCGAAGTTCACGCAATACCGACTTCTCCTCCTCCTGCAGGGCCTGCTTACGTCCGGGCGATGTCGGTGGTGACAGCTGTTGCGGGAGAGGAGCTGGTCGTGTCGTGCCCGGCTGCCGGCTATCCCTTGGCTCAGCTCACGTGGTCCAAAGGTGCGGTCGGGAAAAGAGGGAAGAGG